CACTTGAATTAGCGGAGGAGAGGACTTTGCTGGGAATCACTTGGGAGTGTTGGTCATGATTGAATTAGCTGTGGGATGTCCCCCTCCTGCTGTGCCCAGCTCACCACCTGTACAGAAAGCTTGGGTTTGATACGAGCCCAGCGTATCGACACTGCCCAGTCGCTGGTCTCCGGGCCCACTGACTGAGCCAGATGGGCAGTCCTCATCTCCTCATTCAGCTGGCATTAAATTAGCATCCTGAGAATTTGTGTATTTGCTAGGTAATTTGGGGGGAGATTTTTGGCTAAACATCTCTGACCTACCACCCTTCACCCCAGCCCCTTCTCCAGTCCCTTGGAAGGTATGAATGAGCACAACTAGGGGGGAGGTCGGGGGCCCTTGGCCAGAGAGAGGGCATGCCAGGCCGAGGAAGCAGCTCAGACCGAAAGGCGGGTGGATGCCAGCATATTTGTGTGACACTGACCTCCCCCTGGGAGAGGCCAGCTCCCTCTCTCCTTAGAGACAGACTCCTGACCCTGCATGGAAGGCTTCTTTATTTAGAAGGAAGAGAAGAAAGTAAACACATGCTCTGTAGGCGGGGAAACAGCCATTCTAGGGAGACGTGTCTTTTTCTCCCAATTCCATCTTGTGCTAGACATTGATGTGCATGGTACCCCACTGGAATGTCTGTCCTTACCAGCCAGGCCCTCGTGAAGAGGCCTCTCTGCCGGCCAGACAAGGTTGCATTTCATTGGCCCTGTTGAGAACATTATAACCTTGGGTTCCTGTGGCGCTCTTGAGTTTCCAGAGCGCTTCATGGTGTATTATCTGCAGGAGGGAGAAGGCCATCATGGCCTTGTGGTCCATTCCAGACTCTGGGATGGAACTGGGCAGCCTGTTAGCAAAGCAGAAGGAATCTGAGGTCCCCGAGGCATCACATCCCATCTCTGCCCCCTCTGGGACCTCTGTCTACCTCTTCTGTACAATGGGGCACGACAGCACTCCTGGGCCTGTGGTGAGGGCCAAATGAGATAACTTAGGTAAAGCACTATAATAGTGGGCTGGGCACTGGTCTGGAGTCAGACAGAGCTGGGTTCGAATCCTGGGTGGCCACTTACTGCCTGAGTGGTGTTGGTTAGCTCAAGTCGCCTCTCCTGCCTGGGCGGTCTCCAGGCTCCTTCCACCCCAGTGTCCAGGGTTTGGCGTGCTATCAGATCTCGGGGCCGGAGTCACGTGGCCCATATCCAGGCGCTTGGCATTGACTTTTTTTCAGGATTCCTCAGGGAATCAGTGGCCAAACGGCCCTTGGGTTTGAAGCTCGCTTCTGTCACCTAGTACATATATGACCTTGGGAGAGTCATGTAAACACCATGGACATCAGATTCTTTTCTTAGCAAGTGGAAAGGATTGGACAGGGTCATCCCAAATGTTCCTCCCACCTCTGACATTTGCTGCCTGTGTGAGTCTGAGCAGATCTCACCTCCCCAGGCCTAGACCGGAAGGTCTTTGAGGTCACTTAAATCTAGAACTATAATACTGTGGCTTGGGTTCCAATCCCACCACTTTCACTCTCCACCTGAAAGGAAATACAGCAGGGCATCTCACTTGAAAGTCCCATTGAGAGCCTATGTCTGAACAAGGTGGCTCCTCTGTGGCCTGTCAGACAGGTGATGTGGACTTTCTCCCTCCCAAGGCCTCCCATTTCACTTGTGGGTAGTTCTACCCACTTAGAAGTTTCTCCTTGTGTCAAGCCCCCGTTGGCCTCTCTGAGGCTCCCTGCCCCCCGCCCCCTCTGGGGCCCAACAGAACGAGGGGAATCCCTCTTCCAGGGGCCGTCCCTTCAGACGCTTGAAGGTGGTCCTCACAGTAGCCACTGCTGAGGGACTCCTCAGTCCCAGCAGGGTTACCTGAATTGCTAGGCGTCACCAAGCCGCAGCTAGCCAGCCTGAACACTGGCTCCTCCTCCCTCTTTCTCCTTTCCTGCCCCATGCCCAGCCTGGTGAGCAGAAGTGACCGAGATGCCCTCATTCCCACCTCCCCGAGCTTCCCGCCCCTTCTGGGCCAGTGCTTTGTAATATAGAAATATAGACTATTTCTTCTGCTTTATTCATTCAACAAAGGTTGACTGCCCAGCCTACGGGGGAATGCAAGGATAAAGAGGTCCGTCCTCAGACCCTTCTTCCTCTCCCAGCATAAGCAGCGCAGTGCTAATAATATCCAGTGGTTGGTGGAGTTCTTTTAAGATAACATTTTGCACATGTTACTTAATTTGATCCATCCAGTAACCCTAGGCAATATCCCCATTTTACAGATGAGTAAGATGGGGCACAGAAATTAAGCGCCTTGCCCAGAATCAGAGCTGGTGAGTCCCTGAGGCAGATTTGAATTCAGGTCTTCCTGACTCCAAACCCAGTGCTCCCTCCAGCTACCTGGCTGCCTCATGGCTCCAGGGCGCAGAACTGCTTGGGTTGGGGGAGATAGAGATCCTAGCGCTATCATTTGCCTAGTCACTTTGTGTCTGTGGACCCTGCCATCAATCACAGGAGTGAGTGGCAGACCCAGGATTTGAACCCAGGATCTTTGACTCTGATCCAGCCATCTTTGCACTGCCCTATGCTTTCGTCATCTTCTGAATGAGAGGGTTGGACTCAGTGACCTCTGAGATCTCTCGGCCTCACGCAAGCTCCTTCTAGCTGGGCCTCAGTTTAAAATGAAGGAATTGGGCTCACTAAACGTTAGGGCTTAGGTTCCTCCCTAAAAATAAACCTGTGTCCCACACAAACAAAGCATGAGTCCGGTTCCAGGGCTCCTGGATTCTGGACGGCCCAGGCTTGTGCTGCCTCTGCCACCGGCAGGCAGCTGCTGCTCCCGTCCTGTGGCCATGTGGCCTTCCGGCGGCAGAGCTTGGCACCCTAGGACGCAAAGCCTGCCTGTGAGCTTCAGAATGGAGCATCCTTCCTTCCCTCCCTCACCCCAACACTTGTGGGGCTGCCAGCCCCTTTGGAAGAAGGCTCAGACCTCATGAAACAAGGCAGTTGAGGCTCTCCCACCAGCAGTTCATCCATCTTGGCTTAAAGACCACCCCTGAGTTCCCCCCATCAAGGCAGCCCGTTCCACTTTGGCGTGGCACTCAAAGTTGTTTGTTCTCCACGTCCAGCTCAAATGGGCCTATTTGCAAACACCCCTCACGTACACTCCCACTTTGCTGCCACTTCTGCATCTTGGGACCAAGCAGAGTAGGGCTTGTCTTTCTGACATGACAGCCTTTCAAGGGCTCAGAGGTGGTCATCGGTACTGGTTTGCTGACCTCTCAAACCCTGCTAGATAAACCCTTTCTCAGCCTCGGAATCTCACGTCCCTGCTGATCCCGGAGATTGTTTATGTCAGAAGCAGGATTTGACCCCCAGGCTGCTCCCTCCATGATCTCGAACCCACTTCCTACCAGAATCTGGGGCTTCCATAGAATGCTGGGAGTTATGGGAAAGGGCTGGAGAAAGCCGACCTCCTGGGAGGCTCACAGTGGAGCGTTCTCTCACTGAGAACAGGGAGCCTCTTCTCCCCATCCTGCCCCTGCTTGGCAGACTCCACGGCTTCTCTGCCTTCCCCCACTCCCACTCCCCATACACACGCAGACACACATTTTAAAGTCCTCCGCTCCCTGCCAAGACGTAATTATTAGTAATAAATTACATGAAGGAGCATTTTCACAGAAGCCGCGACCACAAACAAACAAAGCAAACAGGCCCGGCTCCTCTGGCTGCCTGCTAATGGGTACCATTGGCGCTCCCCACTCCCCTCCATCCCCACCCCAGGCCGCCTGTCAGCAGAGCTCAGCTCCAGTATGGACAGGGGCCTGAGGCCTTGCTGCCAACCCCTGTGGCCAGTGCTGGGCTGGAGAGGGAGGGCGGTTCAGCAGCGTTACCATGTTAGGGAGCCTTTGTGAGGGTGCCCTGGAAAGAGCCTGGGGGCTGGGGATCAGGGGACCTAGATTTAAGCAGTGGCTTTTCTCTCAGCCTTGTTCATGGGACTTTGGACAAGGCCCTTCGCCTTTCTGTGTCCAAGCATGGGTTGGTATAAAACATGAGCAGTGGCCTCAGTAGTTTCTATTTTGATTCTATGTTCTAAGGTCCCTCCCAGCCCTTACATCCTCTGTTCTAAGGGCCCTCCTACCTCTGACATCCTCTGTTCTAAGAGCCCCAACCCCCCCAGCTCTGACATCCTCTGTTCTAAGCTCCCTTCCAGCCCTAACATCCTCTGCTCCAGTTTCCAACATTTATACATCCTAAGGTCGCACCCAACTCTTTCCAGTTTCTGTGTAACACCTGTGTGTCAAGACAGGGATATCTCTGGGGCATTTGAACATTTTGTTCCTTTTCTTTCATAGAGAGAATGGTTTTTTAAGTTCTTGATTAGAGATTGGTCTCTTCCTGTGACTAATATGACAGATGCTATGTGGCTATGAAAGGACAGAGAAGTGGTGCGCGCGTGTGTGTGTGTGTGTGTCTAGAAAGAGAAGACTTAAACCCTAGGAGTTAGAGAACCCAAATGATCAGATATCAATTACAGCCTTTCTGTGTGTGATCCCCCTGGCCTGTGCACAGGGTGTCCCAAAAGTCTTTTTGCAGCTTTAAGCTTAAAATTATTCTAAGACTTTAGTACATACATTGGTAGGAAAATGGTCAGTGTAGTCTCTGCCCTCAGAGTGCTTATGGTATCATATCCACCATTCTAAGGAAATGAGGAAAGCACCATTCTAAGAAACCTGGGTTCAGACTCCTGCTCTGACATGTATGACTGGGTAGGGCACTTCACACCTCTAAAACGCAGTATTATCTCGTATGAAGTGGTGATGGTTTCTTAAAGGGAGCACCCAGCCTAGTCTCTAGGTGAAGTGTTGCATTGAACTGAGTCACGATGCATTCTAGGAGGGTGGGCATGGCGTTGCCCCCTCCATCCCCCCTCACCCCAGCAGTCCCAGATTCTGGTTTCTAACCTTGCCCTCTCTCTTTTTGTCTTCACAGAGTGCAGCTGCGGCCCCAAGCCCTGTGCTGGGCAACATCCCTCCCAACGATGGTATGCCTGGGGGCCCCATCCCTCCGGGCTTCTTTCAGGTAGGCCTGAGCCTTCGAGCATCTCCCTTCCTTCCCTGGACCAAGCAGCTGTGGAGTGTGGAAGGCGGGCTGGGTGGGGTTTTGTGGCTAGCTCAGTTTGCCATGGTCTAAATACTGTTGATGTGACACTTGGTTCAAATTCTCTTACCTTCCTATTGCTTCCTACCCACCCACTCCCCCACCGCCCCCCAAAAAAATTTTTTTTTAATTAAATTCCCTGCCATTTCAGTGTATCCTCACTGCTGAGTTGGCTTTTTCCTGATAAGTTGGCTTAGAATTTTGATTGGTTTAGCTCCCTTTGTGTGCTGGGTATCATTTCCCTTGGAGTTAATGTGAACCATTTTCACTAAGGTGGATGTTGTACGTCTTTTGGCATTTTCTTTTTCGTTGTCGTCACCTTCTGGTTTTCCTGGCCCAAGCAAACAGCCCAATATAAACAGCTGGGTGCTGGCAGGGTTGGGGCCTGAAATCTTTTCCCTCTGGTTAACCACTCAATTTTTTCCAACTGTAATCACAGAAAGTGTTTGACAAACAGTTGCTGAGGCTCTCAGCCACAGGCAGAAACAGTCTTCGCCTGGGTCGGGGGCCCTGGGTCTTGTTGACAGTGCCTTTATTGGGATTTCTTAGAGGGATTTTTCTCATCACCGTGTTCCTATTTTGATCTGGAGGGCTCTCTCCCCTCCCCATCCTCTTTCTTCTCTTTTCTCTTGCCTCCACCCAGAGTAATCAGTCCATTTGCAGGCACAACAACACGGGCTCTAAGAGCTACTAATGGGTAGGGCCGTAACGAGCCATCCTCAGATGGACATTTCAAAGATTCATGAAATGTAGCGTGTCTTTAATTTCCCTGAGAGATCTTGGGGCTCTGGGTCTGGGAGGGTGAGCCGTTAACCATGGGAAGTCTCTGGACACTTAAACTGTGTCCCTGAATGCTTCCCGTGGCACTCACTTGTCGAGAGAGATGGTTTTGTTGCTTCCCTGCCAAATTTCAGCTCTAGCAGGTGGTCTTTAGCAACACTGGGCTAGGATTCGTCTTTCTGCCCAAGTTTGGCCATTGTTAGGGCCACGTTTGGGCTCCTCCCGATCCTCTCCTGTTTGAAGTACCAGAATTCTTTTCCTCATCTCACCTCTCAGCTGCCTCCAGCCAAGGTCAGTTGATAGGTGGTCAGGGACCATACTGCACTTGCCCAGCTTACCTGTCCCTCCCTGCCCATTTCCCACAGCTACCACCTCCTTTCCAACGCTGTCCCTGGTCCCCACTCCTCCCCCATCCCCTAAACCCTTTCTCATAGCACTTTTCATTTCTTAGAATTCATGTTGCCCTTTCTTATGGACCTACACCTCTGATCTGTCCCTGATGGATTATCAGCTGTTTGAAGGCAGAGACTGCATCTTGTTCGGTCTGCCATCTCTCCTTTAGCCTGGATGGTGGATCAGTGTTTCTTTCATGAGACCTAATGCTGTTCTCAAGAGAAGAGGAAAGGCGTTTAGCCCAGAATTTCTTCATCTTTTGTATGTTCTGGTCCCCTTGAGTTGTCTGGTGGAATCCAGGGACCCCTTTTCAGAACTGTGCTTTTAAATGTATAAAATAAAATATGTAGGAGTATGAAGGAAACCAATTTTATTGAAATACAGTTATTAAAATATCATTTTGAAACCTGACCCCAGATTAGGAATCCCTAACTAAAGATTGTAGAGATTGGGATTGGCAGTGGGGTGGGGGGAACCTCATACAACCCCCTTATCTTTATAGAGGAGAAAACTGGCTCTGAAGGTGGTGGCATCTTGAACTGTGTGTCCAGTAGATGTCTTAAACTCAACATGTCTAAAACTGAACTCATTATCTTTACTTCAAATGCTCCCGGCTTCCAAACTTCCCCATTACTGTAGAGGGCAACACCATCCCACAGTCCCTCAGGCTCCCAACATAGGATGACTCTTCACTGTCTCTCACTCAGTTTCGAAGCTGTAGCCAAGGCCTGTGGGTCTCACCTGTGCACCATCTCCTGTCAGTTTCACCTGTGGACCATCTCCTGTCAGTTTCACCTGTGTGCCATCTCTTGTCAGTTTCACCTGTGTGCCATCTCCTGTCAGTCTTACTGTGCAGTATCTCGTCAGTTTCACCTGTGTACCATCTCTTGTCAGTTTCACCTGCCCAGCATCTCTTGCCAATTTCACTTCTATACATTTGTTCTCAACTTCACCTCTATTACTTCTCTCCTCTTACCTTGCCCCCATCCTGGTACAGACCCTCAGCACCTCATGCCTCAGTTACTGCAGTAGCTGCTGGTGGGTCTCCCCACTCCAGTCCATCCTCCACTCAAAGTGATTTTCCTAAAGCCTGGAGCTCACCATGTCATCCCCCCTACTCAGTAAACTATGGTGTCATCCTCTTATCCACCAAGAGCAAAGATAATCATGAAAAGCCTTTCATAACACAGCCCTCCCTTCTCCTTCCATTCTTCCTATACACATAAACCCATAGGTCCTCTGATCCATTGACACTGAAAATGATACTCCATCTCTTGGCTCTGGGTATTTTCTCAGTCTGTTCCCTGTGCTTAGAACATGCTCCTTCCTCATCACCTCCTAGTACCTTCCTTGGCTTCCTTTTAACTCCCACCTTTTACAGGAAACCTTCCCCAACCCCTGTTAATTCCAGTGCCTCTGTTAATTATTTCCTATTTATCCTATATACGGCTTATTTGTACATATTTGTTTGCTAGTTGTCTCCCCTATTTAATTGTAAGCTCCTTGAGAGCAGAGACTATATTTTGCCTCTTTTTGTATCCTCAGTACTTAGCACAGTGCCCAGCACAGAGTAGGTGGTTAATAAATGCTTATTGACTAACTGAAGTGACTTTTCCAAGATCACACAAGCAGAAGAACTGGGTGAGATTTGAACCCAGTGCTCTTTCTGCCACACTATATTAAAGAATCCAACTGGACAAATGTTGGGGGTGTGGCCAACACCAGCATTTTTTTCTGTGTTAGGCACTGGGGATACAAATACAAAAATGGGATGGCCCTTGCCCTCAAGGAGCTTACATTCTGAAACAGGGAATCAGAAAGGTATAGTCATGTCATGGTCTTTGCAGAGGAGGGAAGAACGACTCCTTGTAGGAGATGGGACTCATTTTACAGATGAGGAAACTGAGGCTGAGAGGGATAGAGGGACTTGCCCAGTGTCACATATATAATACTCCAGAGAGGCTCAAATCTGGGTCGTCTGACGCCCAGTCAGTTTGTCTTTTTGAGTTATTACATGAGGTGCCTGTTTGAGGCTGGAGTCCCCTCAGGGCTGGGAAGGGAAAGGCCATTGTCTGTTGTCAAATGGAGGTTGACAAGGCTGTTTCCTGAAGGTGTCCGTGTCATAATAGGCATATTAGACCTTGGCTGTTCACCCTAAAACAAGCTCATCTTTTAGCGAGCGCTTCTGAGAGTTAAAACGGAAGCAGATACTATCTCAACTTTTATCTGCTGCTAACAATTCCCACTCTCCCCCTCCTGGCTCTGGTGACATTCTCTCCCAGGGGCTTTACACCATTCTTAGCTGCAGCTGGGTGCAGGCTGGCTGGATTTGGCCGGCCTTCTCGAGATCGGGACCATCTCCCCTCCCCCCAACCACGAGCTGTGGATGGAGCAGGGTCCCCTCTGGGCTTTCACCAGCTAAGGCTCTGTGACCTTTGGGAGATCCCTTGGGGAAGGTCAGAGCAGCTGTCCCCACCACCCCATTGCTCCCCTTGTCTAACCCCCAGCCCCAGGAGCACCTAGAATCTTCTTGGGCTGAGCCAGAGACTCAAGTTGGAAATGTCTTCTCTTCATCCACTCCTCTGGGGTGTGTCGTTTACCCAAATAATGATCACTATAATAGTTAATAATCTTAAAGCCCTGGAAAGTTTACAGAACATTTTGCTTCTCATAACATGAAGGACGAAGTCATGGGAGTCCCTGGACCATAGAACTTTGAATTGCAAAAGGCCTTAGAGATAAACAGATGGATCCCATGATCTTACTGATCAGTCAGCAGGCATTTACTGAGCAACTACTGTATACTGGGCACTGAGAGGCCAAAGCAATGGAGTGAAACAATCCCTCCTTGCAGGCAGCCTTTTCCCAGCATCATAGAATGCAGCCTGTCCTATCTAACTCTCATCCACGTCTGGCTCATTTGTGTTTCCTGTGACTGGCACAGCACTTGGCATATAGTAAGTGCTTAATAAATGCTTCTTCAGAGTTCGTGTGTTAGAGTTTGCAGCCTGCTCACATCTACCATAGTTCACTCCCTCACTTTGCAGAGACAGAAACTGAGATCCCAAAAAGGCGTGTCATTTATCAGACCTCGCTCAGGCAGTCGGGAACAGAGGCAAAAGGTGCATGCCTGTTGGAAGTGATAGTGAGAATTCCACTGGACTAAATGGTGGCCTGCCATGATCCCCTGTGATTTTCACATTCTGTAATTCTGCAATTCTTGGCTACAGTTAAATATGGTTTCAAACCCTTTTGCTCTTCATGACAACTTTGTGAAATATCCCCTACCTTTTTTGTTCTCCACATTTTACAGATGAGGAAACTGAGGCTCAGAGAAAGGCTTAAATTGTCCCAACAGTGCACAGCCAGAAAGCATGAGATTCTGGACTGGACCCAGCTCTTTGTCAGGGAGGGCTTTCTTTATATGCATCCATGTACCTTTGTACCTTATTTGAGCACATAGGTGCTGGAAAGATGTGTGAGTGTCCCTCCCAGCCCTGACATTCCCTGTTCTAAGGCCCCTCCCAGCTCTGACATCCCCTGTTCTAAGGCCCCTCCCAGCTCTGACCTTTCCTGTTCTAAGACTCCTCCCAGCCCTGACACTCCCTGTCCTAAGGCCCCTCCCAACCCTGACATTCCCTGTTCTCAGGCCCCTCCAATCTCTGACATCCCCATTCTATGTTCTTAGGATAATCGATTTAGAGCTAAAGAGACCTTAGAGCCCAGTTTAGTCAAGTTCCAGGTCATGT